AAGGGTCTTGGGGAGGAGACGAGCCAGTCAGGGTGCAATGTAGTAACGATGAAACCTAAAACGGTCCTCTAGTTCCTAAATGCTTTCCCCCCCTCCCCAATTCTACCTTACTAGACCAGAGGATGTACACTGGTACAGATAGGAACTGGAAACACAGGAAATCCAGGGCAGATGATCCCGTCAGGACCAGTGGTGTGAGTAGGATACTGGGAGGGTAGAGGGAGGGTGGGGTGGAAAGGAGGAACAGATTACAAGGACCTACATGTGACCTCCTCCCTGGGGGACGGACAACACAAAAATAGGTGAAGGAAGACATTGGACAGTGCAAGATATGAGAAAATAATAATTTATAAATTATCAAGGGTTCATGAGGGAGGGGGGAGTGGGGAAGGAAGGGAAAAAATGAGGACCCGATGCCATGGGCTTAAGTGGAAAGCAAATGTTTTGAGAATGATGAGGGCAATGAATGTATAAATGTGCTTTACACAATTGATGTATGTATGGATTGTGATAAGAGTTGTAAGAGCCCCTAATAAAACGATAAAAACGACTCTTCTTGTTATGATTGAACTGCTGGATTGTGCGATACGTGGATTAAATGCCAATGAAACAGTTAAAAAAAAAAAAGATTTACAGTGTTGGAAACCCCGTGTGGGTCACTATGAGTCAGAGACATGGGTTTGTCTTTTGTTTGGGTATTATCCATTAAAAGAGCCCTAATTACATAGTGGGTTATGCAATATTTACAGCCTCAGACACCTCAAGGATCAGTTCTACTGAGCCAGAATTGACTCAATGGCCGTGGATGGGTTTTATTCATTCACTTGACAGTTGCTCATCAATGTCCTTTAGACTTAAATTGAAAAAGTTCATATAAATTTTAGACCACATACGTGGTCGCACCAATCAAATCACTAACTAGATTCTCCCACTAGAGGATATGCACCATGAAACAGTACCTGACGTGTTTAATAAAAAGAAACAATCTCAAAGCCATTGCCTTGCAGTGGACTCATGGCAACCCGACAGGACAGAGCAGAACTGCCGCCCCATAGGGTTTCCAGGCTGCGAATCTTCACGAAAGCTAACGGCCTCATCCTTCTGTGTAGCAACTGCTGGGACTGAATCTTTCTGGTAGCACAGAGCACTTTAACCACCGTACCACCAGGCCTCCTCAGGCCCATAAAGGAGTCCCAACAGTTAAATGAGTTATAGTCTTTGAGGGCACCAGCTTATATTTGGCATTCTGTGGTAAATGCCAAATTGCTAATTAAAATCAAGGTCTGGCACTTCATTCAGCAACGAGATGTGAGATTTTCTCAAGGAGTCGTGTGTGAAATGACCCCAGCCTCCACAATAGCATTCAAGGGCCTTTCCAGTACGAATCCACTAGTTTTGCAAGAACTAGTGTTCGGAGGGAGAAAAGTGAATGACTACTACGAGCAGTAGAGGGAGGGGGCACAACCAGGTGACGTTCATTCAGAAAGCAGGGCACTCATTTGTCTAAGCCTCAGCGTCTTCATCACAATCAGATTTGAGAATTACTATTTCACACACACACACACACCCGACACACACGCTATAGTCTGAATAATCCAATGGAGGAGGAGGGGTGAATCCACAGCTGCAAGTTCTTAATTTGGAATCCCTTTAACCCACTGCGGTCCATTCGATTCTGACTCCTGGTGACCTTATACACAGGAGAACTGCCCCATAGGCAGTATTCTCAAGGCTGTACATAATTTTGGGGGGTCAATTTTGCATGTGTTTAAGAATTTTTAAAAATCGTAAATTAGGAGGAGGCTCTTTATGGAAGCTGACTGCTGCATCTTTTTCCTGAGGAGCTTAGCTGGTCGGTTCGGCTCACTGACCTTGCAATTAGAAGCCGGGGCACGTGATCACTGCACCACCGGGACTCTGAGGAATGCTTCTAGAAGCATAAACAAACAAAGAGAAATTATTTAAATGTATAAGCAAGAAATCACAGAAAACCTTTGTGTATAAGGACTATGTCAACAACAGCGGGGAACTAAAGTGTGATATGGCTGGCTGCAAATCCCCGTCAAGTGCGTGGCTTTGGGATTTTAAAACTATACAACTACAGAGTGGGGGAAGGAAGAAATCCAAAAAGAGAATTTGAGGAAAGGAGAAGTCATCTAAATTGAGGTCATATTTTGGGTATTACACAGATTGTATGGAAGAAAAGCAGAAGTGATGTGTGTGTGTGTGTATGGGGGAGTACAGGAAACAGTTGTTGAAAGACAAAGATAGGAACTGGAAACACAGGGAATCCAGGGTGGATGATCCCTTCAGGACCAGTGGTGAGAGAGGGATACTGGAGGGTGGAGGGAGGGTGGGGGTGGAAAGGGGGAACCAATTACTAGTATCTACATATAATCTCCCTGGGGGACAGACAACAGAAAAGTGGGTGAAGGGAGATGCCGGACAGTGCAAGATATGACAAAATAATAATTTATAAACTATCAAGGGTTCATGAGGGAGTGGGGAGCAGGGAGTGAGGGAAAAATGAGGACCTAATGCCGGGGGCTTAAGTGGAGAGCAAATGTTTTGAGAATGATGAGGGCAATGAATGTACAAATGTGTTTTACACAATTGATGTATGTATGGATTGTGATAAGAGTTGTATGAGTCCCTAATAAAATGACTGAAGAAAAAAATAAACAAAACTTTTTATAAAGTCATTCAAAAATTAAATATCTACCTCCTCAGATGCGTTTTAATGCTAGTCTTTCAGTATTCATTGGTGGCAAGCCACCTCTTATTGGAAGTTCGGTTGCTTATGCTGAGACTGTGCATAATTATGCTTTGGTTAGAAAGTGGCATCGTCTCAAAGCGACTGACTGGAAAGCGCTTTCTATTTTGTGCAACACATTTTACTTTAAAAAGAGGATGAATCAATCAGATTTGGGGCAAACTTGTCTTGTAGAATTGTAGCATATATACATATTCAGAGTGCCTAGCAAATGGAAACTGGATCAGATCTTAAACAATAACAAAAAACACCCCTCCTATTTTATAGATGAGTGTCTGACGGAGAGAAAAAGATCCTGAAATAAAGGTGAGTTTTTTCATCTGGGAAGAAAGGAAGCAAAAATTCAGGATGTTGGGAAGGGAAGATTTAAAAAATAAAATAGGATAGTTAGAAGACATGTGCCCGGTTACACCGGGGAGCCATGTCTAAAGAGCACCGAGGGCAGCATTGGTGACGACAAACAGACGCACGGGCGGCCCTGTGCTGAACTCAGTGAAAGGAACAGGCATGCAGGCGTTCGTTCACCTGGGTGAGGTGTCCAGCTGCAGCAGAGCACACTTGTCACTCCAGACCCGGCAGGAAAATGCTCAAAAGGAAACGTTTAAAGACACACTACGCAAAAAGCTAAGAGGGAAACAATTAGAACTGTCTTACTTGAGGTGGATGAAAAGACATAGAACCCGAAGTCGGAGAAGCCCTCTTCTCCATCAGTCATGATGGAAGAAGTATGGAAGACAGCCGCTAATCCGCCAACAAAGTGTACCCAAGACAACAATTTCAGTATGTGTGAGATCTCTCAATTAAATGTGTCAACATTCTTGAAAAAAGATGATTTCGTCCAAGAAAATTTAAATGGGCTGAGTTGATAATGCAGGTAAGATGGTGACTTCTTAGGTTTAGAAAATAAAACTATTTCTATTTCAAAGGAAACATCCATTCTCTGGCTATTGTAGGGACCAAGAGAAAACTGACATTCAATATCCACACCCATATATAGAAAGCTCTACACATCATTTTATAGGAATATCAAAACAAACTCCATTGCCATCTAGCTGTTTCTCAGTCATGATGACTCCTAGGCCAGCAATTCTCAACCTGTGGCTCCCAACCCCTTTGGGGGTCCATAGACCCAATTTCACAGGGATTGCCCAAACCCTAACAGTAGCAAAATGACAGTGATGAAGCAGCAACGAAAGTAATTTTATGGTTGGGGGGGGGGTCACCACCACAGGAGGAACTGTATTAAGGGGTGGCGGTCTCAGGAAGGTTGAGAACCACTGCCCCAGGAGATGGAACTACGGGAAAGGACAATCAAACCTGCTTGTTTGCCACGACCTTTCGGGTGGCCACCGCTGAAACCACTGAGCCACCTGGCCGCCTTTAGAGTACGACCACGTGTTAAATTGCAAGATGCACGGATACCTCCGAGAGTGGCATAAGCTCGGGTGGGCACTGCCAACGTGGAGGCCCGGCTGGGGGAGCGAACGCGATCATTTCCTGTGCACCATAAATCATGCAGAAAACCCACCTTCAGTGGCTTGTCATAAACAGGCCGGCGGTTACCTTCCTCCCCGGATGGCACAATCCTCCGGCTGATTGTGGTGGCGCAGATGTCACGATGGGTGGGGCTGCCGCGCGGAGCAGCTGAAACAGTTTGGGCCTCCCCTCCCGCACACCTTCAATGGGATAGAAAGGGCTCCGAACAGGTAAGGGGGGAAACTCGCCGCCATCCCTTTTTCCCTAGAAGGCTGGCAGTCCTGACGTGGGTGTGGAGGTCGACGACGCCGCCCGGGATTGGAACAATTCCCGAGGATTCAGTCACACCCTGGCAAAGAGGTCGTCCCTCTCTCCCCTCCCCTGCCGGCTCCTCCTCGGGACTCTCGGCTGGGTCGGTCTTCGCCTCCTTCCCACGCCGAGGGGAGGCTGCACGCCGGTCGAGGACGCCAGCTCGACGCTTCGCGCGGAGGCAGCTCTGCGGGTAGGAAAGCGGGGTCGCGGCGTGGACGGCCGGGGCGGAGGGAGGAAGGAAGATGGGGGCGGCCGGGCGGCCGGGCCGAGGAGGCCGAGGGCCCGAGGGCGATCTCCCGGCTCGGCGCTGGGAGCGGGCGCTTCCGGCGGGCCTCGCTCGCTCTCGGCCTAGTGGGGCTCGCGTCCCCGGAGCCGTCCCCGGAGCCAACCCCGGAGGGCAGGGGGTCAGGAGAGAGGGTGAGCCGCGCCTCGCACTTGCCTGAGACCGGGTGACCAGTAATTGATAATAGTCTTTGCTCGGAGCCGGACCTTGTCCGACAATCTCGAACAGAGTGTCGGGCAGCCACGACGCCATCTTGGGACGCCACCGCCGTCGCTAGGACAACCAGGAAGGGGCGGGACTTGCTGGGGTCATGGGACCAAAGCCCTAGTTGAAGTCGTGCCTAGCTTTTGAGCGCTCGGAGGTCAAGAGGGAGGTTCAAACTTGGGGTAATCGTCCCCTCTCCCAAGGGTCTCAGGGAACTTTGATTCAGGAAATTTCCACCTCGAGGCCCCGGGTGACCCGAAAGGGAATTAGTTCCTGCTACCACGGAGGGGAGGGGGTGACCCCGGCGGAGGGATACCAAGCGGAGCTTCACAGCCTTCTTCCTGGTCCCTCGAAGGGATCGGGAGGAGATCGGAGGCCGCTGGGGGCGTCGCGCCGGGCGGTGGGGCGGGGAGGGGCGATGTGATGGACCGCGAGTAGACTGCGGG